TGTCCCTCACTGACCCATAGTCCTACAGGGGACAACACTGGAGACACAGTGTGGGAATTGCGCCAATCTGACCCCACCACACTGAGATGAAACACTAAAGGTGTGCAACAGAACAGCAAGGGGAAGAGCAACGAAGTCCCTGGGGAATACCAAAAAGAGACTTTGGGGCCAGTGTGTGGCACCCCAGCAGACTCGACTGGAAAACACTCCTAAAGGTCAACAAACAGACCTTGAACTATTTACAGGCTTTTCTTTTTTTTGTCATTGGGTTTTTTTGTTTCTGTTGTTTTGTTTTCTTTTGTTGCTTTGTTTTGCTGTCTTGTTTCTTGTGCATAATATTATCTATGCAGGTCTATCTAGATAAGTTAGGCTGGATAAACAATCTGGAGGAGAAAACAAGGGGGACATGGTAGAAGGGAAGGTGGGGGAAAGGAGGTAAGGTGAGTGTTAATAAACCCAGGGGCAAGGGAACAAGTGATCTAAAATCTATGGCCAGGACAGTGTAGGAGGCCTGGTAGGGCTTGATCAAGGGAAATGTAGCTGAGAGGAATTACTGAAACCCAAATGAAGGTTGAACATGATAGTGGGGCAAGAAGAGAGTAAAAGAAAATAGAGGAAAGAACTAGGAGGCCAAGGGCATTTGTATAGGTCTAAATACAGGCATGTACATATGTAAATATTTATATATGATGATGGGGAAATAGATCTATGTACATATATTTATAGGTTTAGTATTAAGGTAGCAGATGGACATTGGGCCTCTACTCAAGTACTCCCTCAATGCAAGAACACTTTGTTCTATCAACCTGGAATTCCATGATGCTCATCTTCCTGACATGATCACAAAGCGGGTGCATATCAAATGTGGTGCAGAAAGCTGATGGTACCCGGCTAGCAAAATATATAGCGTCTGGGGTCTTAAACAAGTGGCCATCTAGACCAGAAGCAACAAAGCCCACATGGACGAAGCACACCAGCCTGTGTGATCACAAGGTGTCAGTGGGATCAGGTATCAAGCATTAAAGAACAAAAAATCATATCGATGTGAATGAGGGGGAATGTAAAGTGGACACTCAAAGCTCATCTGTAGGCAACTGGACATCCCCTTACAGAAGGGTCATGGAGGAGACGAGCCAGTCAGAGTGCAGTATAGCAACAATGAAACATACAACATTCCTCTAGTTCTTTAACGCTTCCTCCCCGCTCTATCACGATCCTATTTCTACCTTACAAATCTGGCTAGACCAGAGCACGGACATGGGCACAGATAAGAGCTGGAAACACCGGGAGTCCAGGACAGACAAACCCCTCAGGGCCAGTGGTGAGAATAATAATACCGGGAGGGTAGAGGGAAGGTGGGGTAGAAAGGGGTGATCGATTACAAGGATCTACATATAACCTCCTCCCTGGGGCAAGGACAACAGAAAAGTGGGTAAAGGGAGACATCGAATAGTAGAAAACATGAAAAAATAATAATTTATAAATTATCAAGGGGCTGGGGGGAGGGGAAAAATGAGGAGCTGATACCAGGGCTCAAGCAGAAAGAAAATGTTTTGAAAATGATGGCAACAAGTCAGGGTGCAGTGTAGCAATGATGAAACATACAACTTTCCTCTAGTTCCTAAATGTGTGCCCCCCCCCGCCCCCCCAAACTATCATGATCCAAATTCTACCTTACAAATCTGGCTAGACCAGAGGATGTACACTGGTACAGATAGGAACTGGAAACACAGGGAATCCAGAGCAGATGATCCCTTTAGGACCAGTGGTGAGAGTGGCGATACCGGGAGGGTGGGGTAGAAAGGGGGAATCGATTACAGGGATCTACATATAACCTCCTCCCTGGGGGACGGACAACAGAAAAGTGGGTGAAGGGAGACGTCAGACAGGGTAAGATATGACAAAATAATAATTTATAAATTATCAAGGGTTCATGAGGGAGGGGGAGCGGGAAGTAGGGGGAAAGTGAGGAGCTGATGCCAGGGGCTTAAGTGGAGAGCAAATGTTTTGAGAATGATGAGGGTAATGAATGTGCAAATGCGCTTTACACAATTGATGCATGTATGGATTGTTATAAGAGTTGTATGAGCCCCTAATAAAATGATTTAAAAAAATAAATAAAATGGAATGGAAACAGGCAAAAAAAGAGAAAAAGAAAACGATGGCAACAAATGTACAAATTTGCTTCTCACAATGGATGAATGCATGAATTGTGATAAGAGTTGTATGAACCCCCAATAAAATGATTTAAAAAGAAAAGAAAAGAACTGAGATTATCATAGTTGGAACACTATTCTATTACTGGATGCCTGAAAATGGGACATAAAATCCTCTCATCTATATTTAGATATAAACTATGTAAGAACATGGGCTAATAGGTCAGATGTTCTTTTAGGACAGAGCACAGAAAATGAACATGAACATAATTCTCTGTACTTGAGTTACCAATCCATTCCCTTCTATGACTATGGGAATACTGCTATAAAAGTGAGTTTTTAAGATTTTAAGTTGGTTGCCAAACACCTCAGCAACCACTTAGGAGAAAAAACAAAATATTTAGCATTTTTTTGTGTGTGTTAACAATATAGAAAACAAGTTACAAAGTGTGTGTGTGTGTGTGTGTGTGTGTGTGTATGTGTGTTTCAGACAGAGAGAGAGAGAGAGGTGGAAGTCTGCTTAGTCTGTCTTACTAGAAGAAAAGAAGAACCAGAAAATGCCTAACTCGGTAGCTATTAAGTGAAATAAGTTTATGAAAATGCTTTTTTAAAATTGGAGTTTGAATGAAAATGTATAGAACATGTTAGTTTTCCATTCAAGATATAATTGTTTCTAGAAAGAATAATTTGATAAACATCTTACACTGAGAACAAGAATGCATGACTTTTGTCTTCTCCATACAGCAAGATTATATTTAGAAACGGAATAGTCCTTGATTAAGAGCCTGACCTGATAACACATCTACCAAGTTTCAAACAGGTTAAATTCTAAAGGTCAGGGTGCAGCTTAGCAACAATGAAACATACAACTTTCCTCTAGTTCTTAATTGCTCCCTCCCCGCCACTATCACGATCCAAATTCTACCTTACAAATCTGGCTAGACCACAGCATGTACACTGGTACACATAAGAACTGGAAACGCAGGAATCCAGGACAGATGATCCATTCAGGGCCAGTGGTGAGAGTGGTGATGCTGGGAGGGTGGAAGGAAGGTGGGGTAGAAGGCGGGAATTGATGACAAGGATCTACATATAACCTCCTCCCTGGGGAATGGACAATAGAAAAGTAGGTGAAGGGAGACGTCAAAAAGTTTAAGATATGACAAAATAATAATTTATAAATTATCAAGGGTTCATGAGGGAGAGGGGAGCAGAGAAGGAGGGGAAAAATGAGGAGCTGATACAAAGGGCTCAAGTAGAAAGCAAATGTTTTGAGAATGATGATGGCAAAAAATGTACAAATGTGCATGACACAATGGATATATGTATGGATTGTGATAAGTTATATGAGCTCCCAATAAAATGATTAAAAAAAAAAAGAAGAAATACAGAAGAGGATTCCTAGTGATCGTTCACTGTGAGATGATTTTGTGTAGTAAATATAAAAGTCCTTGAATGTCAGTTCTGTATAAGACGAGGGTGATTGTTAGTCAGTATTTGGTTCTTTTAACATAGCTTTCGAGAAATCCTTTCATAAGATTCATTTATATATGTCAATAAAACATATACTTATTATATTATTTATAAAAAAATAAAAGCAAAAGAAACAAAACCTTTGGACAAAAAACAAAACAAACCCCGCCCCCCCCAGCATTATTTCAGTACTTATTTTTACTAAAAAACAGTTTTAAAATAGTTTTTGAACTCAACTGAGGCATCTTTAATGAATTTTACTTAAAATTCCAAATCAAGCTTTACCCTAAACTGAGAAATGTGCTACTGGAAACTTGAAAATAAATAAATCAAACAAAAAAACATGCTCTCAAAAAGTATGTAAATTCTTGACCCTTTTGAAGCTCTCCTACGAAGTGGGAGGAATGTTTGGTTGTAAAACTGTAATGAGCTGTGGGCTCAAGAGTCCAAACCCCTTCTTTCACTAGCTAACAAAAACTTGTCCCACTTTGGATTTCCTGATTCCCTTTCCAGGAAACAAAATGGGGAAGACAGTGCCGGGAAGGCCAGCAACGTGACAGTGACATAAGGGTGCAGCCCACGCAGCTGGAGGAAAGAATACGGCTACCTTATGTCAGGACCTGAGCTCGAGAGCCACACATTGTGTCATGCTTCAAACATTTTTCCCAAAGGAAGAAAGGGACTTAGCAGAGAACAGTCCCTGGGTTTCTTATACGTTCCTCTAACCATATCGACAGGTAAGTGAAACTGGTGTTTTATTCAGAGAAAGTCCTTTTATTTCTAAACATAATTTATAGGGTGGTTTCGGGATGGTACTAGGAGCCTTGGTGGCATAATGGTTTCACATTGGACTAGTCACTGATCAAAAGGTCAGCAGTTTGAAACCACCAGTCACTCCACAAAAGAAAGATGAGGCTTTTTACTCCCATACAGTTAGTCTCGGAAACCTACAGGGGCGGTTCTATCCTGCCTTGCAGGGTGGCTATGATCTGGAACCGACTTGATGGCAGTGATTGTGAGTTTGGTTAATGCTGCTGCTAATGTCTTTGGATACTGACAGTAATCTTGAGTGGTCACGTGGAATTTTTCTTTTCCTGGGAGAGAACTTAAACAGCCTTCTGGTCTACACAACCACATTAGCAACCAGAGGTATGTATGAATGATGTCAACTCAAAGACACGCACTTGCCAATGTTACACAACAATGGTGTTTTGAGAAGAGTGTCACTATGTATTTATGTTCAAAGGTTCTTTTGTGAAAAATACAGCAATATTCTTCCTTCTATTCTCTGGACACCTAACAAAGTGCCTTGAATTCAGCAAGAGCTGCTAAAGGCAATGATGACAATTCAATAGCACAGAAAATCAGTACCTCCTGTGCCTTCCTCTTGAACGCATGACTTTATAGGTGCTTCTGCGTCGGACCTCCAAATTAGGCTGGCAGATGCTGGTCCTTTATTAGACCTATCGAGAATCCCAAGGACATGGCGACCAATTGTCTCTTCAACAGCTGCTGTCGTCTTTACAACCTCCAAGAGGACCTTCAGAAGTTTGCTATTAGCTTTCTGGAGTGCATACCTGTACAGACAGACATATTGAAATGCTTTTAGTCCTTCTAAAGCAGAACTTGGCTAAGGTCCTACCAAAAAACCACAATATATGATTACAAAAATATGTAATATATGATCCTCTACTAAAAAATATGCAACTATAATGAAGTGCTTTTTTGTTTTGTTTTTATAATTAAATTATAATAGGATTAATTTTTTTCTGAAACATTTTGGTAGGCCAGTGAACTATTAAAAAAAACAAAAACTAGGCTCACTGCCATCGAGTTGATGCCCACTCACAGAGACCCTATAGGACAGGCAGAGCCGCCCCTGTGGGTTTCAGAGGCTTTAACTGTTCATGGGAGTAGAAAGCCCTGTCTTGCTCCTGAGCAGCAGTTGGTGGGTTCAAACTGCTGACTGCGAGGACTGCAGCCTGACTTGTAACACTACACCACGAGGGCTATATCATTAAAAAAATGTGTAGCATTTTATTGACTGGAAAGATAGCAAACAACTAAAATTTTAAGCCAGTGGTTTGGAGATCAGAAGAAAATGCTAAGGAGATGTAAAATGTAAATGCACAAAGTGTGGTGGTAGCAGATTAGGTTATTGAGCTAATAATACTTTTTATGGGTAGTCATTGTTATTACTCTGTTATAATTATACACAAAGGAACCTCAAAAATCTCACGGGCAAACTGAATGAAAAAGTTTTCCATGAACTTTTTGAAGCCCACATATAAACAATTATATCATTGTATATATGTTATGTATGTATGTATATTTTACTTTTAATCTTTTGTGTCAATCTATTTTAAAACACAATTTTAAAGTCCCACCATTAGAAAGTGACAGGATGCCTGCAATTTAATGGCAATGATCTAGATGTCTAAATGAAACAGTAATAGGCTGGCAGAGCCTTGTTTCTGCAAAGGGTCAGAACGCAGTTAACACCAGTGGGACTGGCATGGATTGTCTTCTGTTACATCTGCTCCAGTGGGAGGTTTCTCAAGTTATACGCACTACGCACACTTCGGCCAGTAGACTCTCCCCTGATTACCTAAACGGAAGTATGGCGTGTCTCTCTCTTTAAAACCTAAGTACGGTAATATAATCTTTTAAAACAGTACTAACCTCCCCCTAAAAAAAGGCTCAGACCCCAGAGATAAGCACTGTCAGCATTTCAGTCCTAACCCAGACCCCACCCCTCAACCAGTCTCATAAATATAGGCAATTAAAAACAGATATAGAATTAACCTAGACAAAGTATTTTTGTATACTTTCTTTTTCACTTAACATATTTTTCATGTCAAGAAACATACTTCCACAAATGATGATTCAGAAGATTAACTGATTAATCTTCGGAAGAATTACACAATTCTCTCTTCCCAACAACTTAATTCAACAAAGACACTACAGTGCAAATGCATGGAGACAAAAACAAGGCTTTCACGGCAATGATCCTTTCTCTCTGCTTAAGGGGGTTCTCAACTTCATACTGTCAGAGATCACAAGAATCAGGTTTAAGGATATCAGTTTTCAAAGGCACGTGGCATACTTACTTTAGGACAAGGTAATAAATGGAGAGGTTTTCCTTCAGTATTTGTCAAAGAAGACAGTTCTATTTTTGCACCTAGATCAAGTTCTCTGCTTTCATAGGCAAGGATATTAAAAATAAAGCTCTACATAATTTAGTTACTAGGAAGTAAGTCAAGGGTTTTCTTTCATTTAACATTTCCTCAAGCTTTGTTCTAGTCTCAAGCCCCAGGGGTAGGCAATTTAAAAATATTTCTACTTAAAGGAAATAATTAAAATTAATATAATTAAGAATTCTTATTTTATCAGCACCCACTACAAAAATTCCTAAAACTTAAAACATTGCAGAAATTTAAAGCATACCAAGTAGAGAGAAATCATATAAAATAAACAATATAAAATAAACCTCATGTTTATTTTATGTTGCCATGGTAACTCTAATTTCGTACACTGTCTTTCTCGTTTGAGCTCCATCCTGACTGTGCTTCATACTGATGATCCAATGGGGAAGCCAAAATCTTAGGGGCCAAATTCCTCCATGCCAGCTGAGGACGGGGATTGGGGCACAAGAGGGTTGACAGTCACAGCAATTGGAAAAGGAGGAAATTAAGTTAGTAGAAAATTAGTTTTTGTTTAAGATTAAAGAAATTATTTTCACTTGAACACAACAAATTTTAAAATACCGTGCTTAAAGTTCTTAATATTAACGTGAGGTAACTGTTCTGATTTAATATTTTTATATTAACCCTGACAAAATCAAGGAAGGAAAAATGCGTTACTTTCAGATGCTGAATATTTTCATCTACAAACTGGATTAAAAGTTCTCATCTGCTATGCAGTACATGCATGAAAAAAAGCTGAACGTGGACAATGCACACTACAGCTACTGTATAATCGATATAAACAAGCTTACTTTGAATGTATTCCCATATAGTAAATGAACAACTCATGCATACAACTGCGTTTTTTAGGACAAAAAAATAGCACATGAGAACAATTAAAATGAAGAAAGGTTCAACACCCAAGTAATGACTTACTATTTATGGATTTAAGTATACAATCACTATAGCCAATGAAAAATTATTTTATATACGACAGATTTCTACCAACATGTCTATTTTAATGATTAAAAAATGATCAGCCTTTACTTATACATATGGACCTATTTCAAACACAGATAGTAAGATTTTAAAGATCAACCATAAATGTTTGAGATAAAAATAAAGACACAAAGTTTAATACATCAAAGCAACCACTTTAATTCCCAGTACACATTCTGTATACCTTTCATTGGACAAAATATCAGATGGCACATCTTCCGGTTTTCTGTCCAACTCCTTTTCTTTAGAGGTTTGTTCCTCAATTTCCCCTTGGTTTTCATTTCCGTTCTGTTTAAGTTTATGTAAAGGTAGAGAGGACAAGACAGAAAGGAAACCTGTCATCTTGGGTATAGCATGTCATTCCTTCTATATAGTTACCAAAGTAAAACAGAAACCTCTGTGCACAAAACAGGTCCTGTCTGAAATAATATTTAACTATATTTTATCAAGCGATTAGCATTATCATAAAAAGATAAAACATTCCAGGGCACAGTTGAGAAAAGCTCACTGGAGTCCAGCAAGTGCGTGCTCTAGTGCCACAATCAAGTGTGTTGGGTTGGTCCCCAGTGGAACAACAGCTGCTATCCCAATGTCATGTTCAAATTACTTTAAATGGAATGTAAGGCATTTTGACTCCACCTACCTGACATGTAAGCAGTCACAAATGTTAAGCTCAATACCTATTTTTAAAAAGCAACAGAGACAAACAAATCCTACTGCACTGTTGATCCATCGCGCCCAGGTGGGCAAAGTCCATACTACCTGTGTTTGCGTACTGCTGTGGCGCAGCTCACAACACAGCTTCTCTCTTCCAGCTAGAGACAGCTGCTTTAGTGCTTCCAGCTCCTCTAAAAGTACCCTCTCTCTTTCTGAAACCAGGTTTTCATTATCTATTGAGGATCTCTAAATAAGAAAAAAGGTCATGAGAGAACATTGTTTGCGACAGAGGAAAAACGCAGAAATATTAGATTTCTTTTAACCCCTTGGGATAAAAAGATCCTATGATCCATATCCCAGTACAAGGGATTAAAAGCATATATAAAATTCAATGCAAAATTTGAAATTGAAAAAAAAGACTTTTCATTCAGAAAATTCAGAAATTTGTGCAGCTCATTTAATATTATTCGATATGCTAATTTTGCATTGAAGTTTGAGCAGTTTAACTCACAAAACATTATGAAGAAAAGCGAACTTAAAATTTCCAAGTGGTGTAATTTATGCTCCAGCCTCAATTTTCCTATTAAATATATTTGAGAGAATATATTTTCAAAATATATTGGAGAATAAATTTTAAGAGCTCTGTTTCTTTCCTTTTTAGATTCAGTTTTCAAAATTAGATAGAATACATTTTTTTCTAAAGAACTCTTACATAAATATGTCTTGCTTTTCTGCAACAATTTTGTGAGTTTAATATATATGATAATCACTAAGAATCCAGCTACCAAATCCCAAAGATTTACATTTAGTCAAGAAAAGAAATAAGAATGTTATATAAATTTGCATTTTTTAAATCAACAAGAGATGTTTCTCTGGAGGAAGTTCCAGAAACATAGCAATTTAGAAGATTCCATTCATGATTAAAAAGGTAGATTAAAGATAGAAAAATGTAAACCTTGGTTTACTGATGGGCTCATAAAACCATAAATGAGTATGGGAATACTGAATGGTATCAACTGCATACTGGAGCACTCTGGCACAACCAAGTATTTCTTGCCCTGTTTGGTCAAAAGAATGATTAACAAACAAATAACAACCTTGAAGCCCTTTTCCAGTGCCCGAAAAGGCAGCTGAGTAAAATGGCAGCAACATAACGCACTTCAAGGTTCAGTTAGATGTCCCAACAAGACGCAGCCTGCTGTGCTGCTGGAGTTTGTTTCTGATGCCAAACACTGGTTACTTATTCAGATCTGGCAAAGTAATTTCGACATTTTTTAAAGGCCAAATAAAGAAGATTTATATTTTAATTAGGGAAAAAGGGGATGATTAGTCCCATACCTGGGCTAATTGCCTGTGGAGCCGCTTAATCTCTTCTTGTAGTTGTTCCTGGTCTTCTCGCTGTCTCTCCATCTGGTGCATGTGTGCCTGCCTTAACAGCTCTGTTGCCTGTTGATGCTCTTGGTACTGTCTAACAAGCTCCTGCCTCATATCTTCTAACTGTTCTTCATTTAACATTAGTTGTCTAGAAGCATCCGTGCTTGACACCAGATTCCCATCAGGGATCTGTAACAGTAAAAATCAGTGAAAATTAGCCATTACACATTTTGTGGAAATTTGTTGGCATTGATATTCTAAACCAAATATGTCAGCAATTCTGTTACTAAACCCACACAATACCAGGTATTTCCATTGTTGAACTGGAACACTGGTCAATTAAAAGTTATTTTCTTAAATAAAGTTCCAAATCAACATGAAGTTAGTTTAATATACATGTTATCAAGAGAAAGATTAAACATTTATTTTATTCTTAATGAAGCTATATACTCTTGACATTTTATGATAAATTGTTTGAATGAAATTTCTATTTCAAAATTAAATCTATATAAATGAGAACTTTTTAAAAGTTGATTTAAGTTATAGTTGTTATTACAGTACTATAGAAAACTGTTGGATATGTTTTCTTTCTTTAAAAATAAAGCTCTATATTACAATTTCTCATACCCAGAAGTCAGTTTCTTACTGGGTTTTGAGGAGTACTTCATGATAACACTTAACTGAAGCACTTTGTGTAAAACACTGGCTGACAAACTAAAGGTTTGCAAATAAACACTTTTACTCATTTTGAATTTCATTGAAAACTGACAATTTTATTTGAATGTGCTGAGTAAAAATAACCAATCAGCAATATAATAAAAATCTGTTTAAGATAACTTCTATTAAAGAGCAATAAATTTCTAGCATAGATACAGAACATATCTCCATTAATGAATAAAGAATAAGAATACTGCTATATAGTTAGTAAAACACTTTAAATTGTCATCTTAAATAGATAGCTATTTCCATGAAATGTTACCACCATATTTAACACAGCAAATCATTTATTCATAGATACTGCCGAATTATAGTGTAATTAATCTAGAGCTAACTGGAACAAAATTATGTTGGAATAATTTCATGAAATTTTGACCATGCACAAGGCATAGAAGACAAGAAAGAATATGGTGAACCAGACTTGAAAATTGTAATACTAAAATTAAGTCATATATTCATATACCTTCATAGAAATGCTCTTTTAGGTTTCCAAGACTTTAAATCTTTATAGGAAAGTTATTTTAAATATAAATCATTTTATTGGGGGAATCTTACAGTTCTCACAATCCATACATCAATTGTATCAAGCACATTTGTACATATGCTGCCATCATTTAAAAAATATTTTCTACTTGAGTCCATGGTATCAGCTCCTCTTTTTATCTTCCCTCCCCCACCCTCGTGACACCTTAATAAATTATAAATTATTTTTTCCTATCTTACACAGTCCGCTGTCTTCCTACACCCACGTTTCTGTTATTTGTCCCCCTTGGGAGGTGGTTATACATTGATCATTGTGATCGGTTCGTTTCTCCCCCTTCTCCCCCCTACCCTCATGGTATCGCTACTCCCATTATTGTTCCTGAAGGGTTTATCTATTCTGGTTTCCATGTGTTGAGCGCTCCTATCTGTACCAGTGTACATGCTCCGGACTAGCCAGATTTGTGGGTAGAACTGGAGTCCACAATCGTCAGGGGTAGAATGCATTAGAGAACTAGAAGAATGTTGTGTGTTTCGTTGGTACTATACTGCACCCTGGCTACTGTCCCTTTTTAGTGACATTTATGTGAGGGGATGTCCAATTGTCTACAGATGGGCTTTGGGTCTCCACTCTGCACTCCCCCTCATTCACATCAATATGATTTTTTGTTCTGGATCTTGGCTGCCTGATACCTGATCCTGTTGACACCCTGTGATCACACAGGCTGGTGTGCTTTGTCCATGTGGGCTTTGTTGCTTCCCTGCTACATGGCCACTTGTTTAACTTCAAGCTTTTAAGACCCCAGATGCTTTATCTTTTGATAGCCGGGCACCATCAGCTTTCTTCACCACATTTGCTTATGCACCCATTTGTCTTCAGCAATCGTGTCAGGAAGGTGAGCATCACAGAATGCCGGGTTATTAGAACAAAGTGTCCTTGCCTTGAGGGAGACTTTGAGTAGAGGCCCAAAATCCGTCTGCTACTTTGATTGTTAACATAAAAATTTATGTACATAGACCTATATCCCTGTTGTTTCATATTAATATATTTACATATACACATGCCTATAGTTATAAATTTTTTAAAATCATTTTATTGGGGGTTCGTACAACTCTTATCACAATCCATCCATCCATTATGTCAAACACATTTGCTGCCATCAGACATTTGCTTTCCACTTGAGCCCTTGGTAAATAACTTTTGACTCCTAGTTCTTTTATAGGAAATATTTAAATCCTCATCTTTCTTGAACAGCAGCTCGTGGATTTCAACTGTTGACCCTGTGGTTTGCATCTCAATGGGTAACCCATTATGCTGCCTAAGTCAGAATGGACGTGCTGGCAGTGAGTTTGGTTTGGTTTGTTCATATACCTTACAATTAAGAAAACATACTGTAAATCACAAGTCAAGATCTGACACTTCACTCTTCCACTAAAAAGCATTATTGCTAATATTTTTATTATCAAGTAGACAACTTTTTATAAGTGTTTCACATTGAAGCAAGGAGACCTGGGGACACAGTGGTTAAGGTGCTCAGACCCATCGTGGGTGAAAGATATGGCAATCAGCTTCTGAAGAGCCGTGGAAATCCTGAGGCAATTCCACTCTGCCCTACAGGGTGGCTATGCTTCAGAACCAACCTAATCAATGGCACTGGCATATTTTCAAGGAAGGCATACTTACAGATTCTCCAAATAGAAATGTTTTATCTTTGGAGAACATTTCTTCTGAAATAGTTAGTTCACAGTCCTTCGAGTCTAGGATCGCATCAAGGTAATCAGTATTTGATAATGGACCTTGCTTTCCATCTCCTCCTAATTCCTTACTTAGGGGTTTAGAGTCTTCTTTAAATCTCATGCCAGTTATTTCAGAAGTCTGAAAACCAAAATGATCCTGTGATAATTTCACTTTATTTAAAACCTGTTGTTGCTTTTGCTGACAGAGATCATGTGATTGTTCTGATGGTATGGTATCTTCTTTATCCCCAGACAGTCTCAAGAGCTCAGTTTGTTGAGCAAATGCTATACTCATTGACACAATAACCTAAAGAAACAAAGCAAACGTAACAGGATTAGATTTATGAATAACATAAGTGGTATCAAAAGATACCACTCAAAATTATGAGTCAGAAAAAGAGCATAGCTTCAGTTTTAAACAAAAAGAAATTTTATGATAAAGTATAATAGGGATAATTTCTATTTATAATCCAATGTCGGAGTATTTATCTTATTGCCTGCCTTTAAAAAATTAAAAAAATATTTTTCTTATTACAAAAGCATTAACTGTTCAGTAAAGTTATCAGAATGAAGAAAATAAGACACTATATAGCTCTTGACGTCCCCCCCCACCCCCACCGCCCCGCAACTTACTATACCAGTGTGGACTTTTTCTTTTCCTTTAAATATGATCATATGCTTATCTTTTAATCTGCTTTTACAGTTTAACTATACAAAACTCGTTGCTGTGAAGGTAATTCCAACTCATAGCAACGCTATCATTTCTCATCAAGAAAAGCATTTCTATTATGATCTTAACTGAGTTAAAAGTTTCCTATTACACCAATATTTTACCAGTATAATCAACCAATTTTCTATTGCTGGACAGTTAAACTGATGCCATCTTTAATTATTTTAAATACCACTATGATTAAGTATTTAAAACTGTACCATTGTACCTGTTTTCTAATTTACGTATGATACATTTCAGGAAGTGAAATACTGGTTTTTATGACAGATCAGTCTTTGCGCACCAATGACTCTATTTCAAGTCCTAGCTCCACAAATGATTTGCAATGGGGAAAACCTGGCTGCTATAAATCCAAGGATAAAATATCTCTTGGGTTAGAAACCTTCACCCCTACTGACCTTCAGCTTTCTCTAACTTTTCCCTGTTGGTCCAGGATGTATGACTGGGCTTTACTTTAATTTCCTGTCTTGAACCTGATTGGCCTATTTGGGGTCCTGATTCCCACCTGGTTCTTGCTAGCCTCCTTCCTCTCAGATGCTATCTCCTCCAGCTGCTGAATGGAGTCCTGAATGGAGTTCAATAAAAACAATACAGGTGGTAACAAAAACAATAATAAAAGCAGCAGCAGAAAATGTTAAAAGTTCTTATATTATTTCATTAAATCCTTGCTATACCAAGAAGCCTGGTGGGGCAGTGGGTTCAGGGTGGTGCTCGCAGGAGGAGAATGAAGCAGTCAGCTTCCATAAAGACTCGCCACCTCCAAAATCCTATGGAGCATTCCTACTGTCTCACAGGTCGCTATAAATTGGAATAAGATGTAGCAGTGGTCACCAGAGCAGTGAGTACCATATCGAAAAGCATAACTGAATCATAACCCCAATATTTCTTACCCTCTTTCCTGAGATTTTAAACTTCCAGGTTCCCACCAACTGGCACCCCTCACCATCAGATCTCATACTTTCTTATCTAATTAAGAACACCGGCATCAGCCTCTCCCTCTCTTCAACCAGTATACTGTTTCCTTTTCTTCTGGATAATTTCTATTAGTATGTAAATATGTATTATCTCCCAGCTAAACAAAAGTAAAACAACAAAAAATCTCCCACTTGATGATCCTACACCATCCTTTTAGGTACCTTAGCATTTCTCTGATTCCCTTGCAAGTAAAACTCCTCAAGAGTTTGTCTCCTTTTCCAATCTGGCCCAAGTTCAATTAATCAGTCTCACTGTACAAAAATGTATACTCATTGTATTCTTAATTTTGCACCCATGTCCCCCAACCTCCCCTGCCACAGCCCTAAGAAACTATGAATCTGTTACTGTCTCTGTAGGTTTACTTACTGTGAATTTCACATAAAGAACATCACACAACACCCCCAACAAAGGTAACAAGGCACAGAAACCTCTCAATCCAAAAGCAAGCAGGAAATAATAAAAACAAAAATAAATTTAAAATGGGTCAGAGGGGAAAACAAATGATAAGATGTTAAAATTTAACCTAACAATATTTGCTTTCTGATGCACATCCCTGGTCAATGGTCTCAGGGAATTCAATGGAGGCTTAATAAAAATGAGGGCTATGCAAACAGGTTTTGGTCTTTCTCTGCCATCTTCAGGCTTCTGCAAACCAGGGGCTCAGAATTTACGCTCTAATGCAATTCCCTCCTCTGATCTTGGATTTTATTATTTACAATCCTTGGATCACACAGGGTAGTGTGCTTTCACATGGGCTAAGTTGACCTCATTTAGATAGCTGCTTGTTTTAAGATGACCTTTTAAGACCCCAGATGATATTCTTTCTGATAGGCAGGCACCATTGGATCTTCTTAGTGTACTTTGCTATAGCATCCATATCTTCAGTGATCCCTTAATAAGGGCAAATACCCATCATAAACTCAAAACTCTCATTGCCATTGAATCAATTCTGACTCATAGTGAACCCCCTGTGGGTTTCCAAGACTTTAACCATTTATGGGAGTAGCAAGCCCAGTTTTTCTCCTTTGGAACTGCTGGTGGTTTCAAACTGTTGATCATAAGGAATGCAGTCCAATGCGAAACCACTGTGCCACCAGGGCTCCTTCATAAGAACGTTTTCTTAGGCTAGGGATTACAATTAAATGCATGTGATGAACTTACAGAAACAAGTAGAATAAGGGTTTTGGTGGTGGTGGGGACGTGTAAAAGGGAGACTATCAAGGAGTCAAGGAAGGAAAAGAATGTTTAGAACTGATTATGGTAACGATTGTACAATTCTGCATGGCATGAATGAACTACAGAAAGATATGATATGTATTAATTCTCAATTATTAATACACTGAAAATAAGCAAAATAAATGTAAACATGCACTCCTTTGATTTTTATTACTTGCATTTTTATAAAATGCAGTTTAAAATTTTTTTACTTGTGATTTGGGTGAAAGTTTATGCAACAAATTAGTTTTTATTAACAATTCATAACATTTTGTTTCATGTCCTTGATCACAGTCCTCACAATTTAACAACACTCTTTTTACTTCTTCCCTGTTTACCATTTCCCTTTGTCTTTCTTTCTATCCCTCTGTCACTTCTGAGCTTTTCCCCTGGGAAAATGCTGTCCTTTGGACCAGGTATGGGTTATTGTTTCATGTTACATACCTCCCTGGTGTTACTGTTCACCCTATAGGCTTGTCCATCACTTGGCTGATGGTGTGAGTTTATTCTTAGACCCGAAGGTTGTCTACAAGCCTTGTCTTGGGATAAATCAGTAAACTCAGTCTTTGTTTATGATTTTGAGTTTTGTTCCACATTTTCTTCCCATTCCCTCCAGGACGTCCTTTGGTGTTTGCCATTCAGAGCAGGTAAACAGCAATAGTCAAGCACCAGCTAGTTCTCCTGGTCGTTGCGTCATAGAGATTGGGGTTTACATGATGCATCAGTACTCCAGAGTGTTTCCATTTCTCTTTGCACTTTTTCACTCTTTATTCCAGACAGGGGTACAGAACTCATCAAAGGAGGTAGAACACTGTTATTTTGGATTATGCTATGCCATTTGACCTTGGTGTCCCCTAAGACTACTGTCCTGAGCCCCTGGCCCAGTGACTCATTCTCTGAGTGTTTGGTTATTAGTAAAAAAATTTTATAACATTTTCCTCTGTATGCTTTACTCTATTCGTGAGTATATTTGCAGTACATGTAACATATGTAGAAATATCCTCTGTAAGACCTATATATATTCTTTAGTTTGTATGCTTGACTTCTTTCACACAACTCTTTCCCTATGTAATTTGCAGGTCCTCTTAGTTCTGTGCTGCTCCAGGTTCAGTCCCCAGGCCTCTTTTCAATCTACTGTCAATCCTTCGGTAAGTGTTGTTAATATTTTTTCACTGTACCCATGATTAAAAAAAAACCCAACCAAACAAAACCAAATAAAGAACAAAAAAACCCATCCCACAATAACAACAAAATTTTACATTTAAATTCAGAGTAAATATATAAACCTGTACGTGTATATGTTTCTATAACTGAAACATTCAGTTAACATAAAATATCAGACCCACTACACATTGATTTCGTAATTTAAAGATGGATTAACACTTAGTTTGAAAACAGTCACCCCTGTATGATCAGTGCAACTATACATGTGGACTTCTCCAGGTGGTATACACAGAAGTCAAATTGACATCTGTGGGAAGAGATAACAGAGTTCAGTGTCAGCAGCTGAAACGAGGCCACAGGTTAACTGCGGAATAGACCATCAACTGCTCATAAGCAAGTGCAGATCGAAGCTGAAGAAAATTAAAATAAGTCACGAAAGCCAAAATATGACCTTGAGTATATGCTACTTGAATTTCAAGCACAGATTTGAGACATTGAGCACAGATGACAGACGATCTGATGAGCTATGGGATAACATCAAGAACACCATAGATGAAGAAAGCAAAGGGTTATTAAAAAGAGAAAAAAAGATAAAAGTAGCTATCAGAAGAGACTCTGAAACTTGCTCTTAATCTTAGAGTAGCTAAGACAAATGGAAGAAATCATGAAGCCAAAGAGCTGAACAGAAAAATCTCAAAAGGGAGCGCAAGAAGACATGGTAAAATAGTATAGTGACACGTGGAAAGACCTAGAGTTAGAAAACCAAACAGAAAAAACATGTTTATCATATTTTAAACTGAAACCAAAAACCAAACTCACTGCCACTGAGTCAATGATGACTCATAGTGAGCGAACGCCCTGTGGGTTTTCAAGACTGTGACTGTTTATGGGAGTAGAAAGACCAGTCTTCCTCCCATGGGGCTGCTGGTGGTCTCGAACTGTCAACCATGTGGATCATAGCATAACTCAGGGAAAAACTCAAGCCCCAAGTTGCAATCTTGAAATAGTGTATTGGTAAAATACTGAATGATGCAAGAACTATCAAAAGAAGATAGAAAGGCCCCCACAGGCATGGCTGCCCCTGCTGGCTGGCCGGCACTGCAGCTGGCCTTTGGGCACCAGTGTCCCGCGTGAATTGTTCCTGAAAGGCAACACAGAGAAGACTGAGGAGGAAGAGGATGATAAGAAGCTAGATGAGACCCTGTCGGAGAGACTCGGGGGTC